AATCCTTAAAGAGATGGGATGAAATCAAAGGATGTAATCTTGCGAGAATCACCTTGGGCGACCCTGGGAAGCTGGCGCCGAAGAAATATCTGGCGATGACCAGGAAAAATCTACGCTTAACAGTAGGATTTCTGGCTGGCCACTGTCAACTAAGGAAACACCTCCATAATATGGGGCTGGTGGACACACCTCTATGCAGGTTGTGTGAATAGGAATATGAGACTGCCAGGCCTGTCCTATGCGAGTGCCCGGAGTTATCGTCAATAAGAGAGTGTATGTGTGACGAATCTTGGCCTACACCTGCCGATATAAATGAGATGTCTCCTAGTGACTTGTCCACCTTCCTAGAAAGGACAGGATGGGCGATGGCTTAGAAGGACAACTCCTCGGGAGGATGTACAATGGTCACATGTGGTCTAAGTACTATGGGCTTACACTTACCCTCCCTAGTCTACAGATACAGAAGTCACCGCATTCTCTAGTGCCTATACATCTCTATAACAAGTTTTCAAGGTTAGAAAAAAGTTCCTTGACAGTCAATCTACACTCAAATTTCATAATGAAACGCTTTCCACGACCAGAACTAAAAAAAGACATCGCTTTGAGTATGTTTGAACAGGTGGGGCTAACCTTCCCTCACCTTCACCTGTTAGATTTCAGATTTAACGCCGCGCCAAACTTGGCCAACGACCCAAATATCAAACTCTCAACCCAGAGGACATCCTGTGTAAACCCAGCTAAGCTAATGAGAACCGAAGCAAAGCAAACATCCGAACAATGAAAACAAGACGATCGAGAGAGCATTGGCTATTCGCGTCTGAATGCCATGCCGATCCGTTCTGGAGGGCGGGGTTGCCAGATTGTTCAGTTCGTTTCCCCTGTCGAAATTCAAAGACCCCAAAAAGCACAAAAAAAATAATCATTATTGTCAAAGGTTAGCCAGAGCATACTGATAAATTGAGGAATTAATGATACCTTTTACGTTACCGTAAATATTTGCATTTCTAAAATAAAATAAATTGTCACCGCAAATTAAATCACTTTTCCGTAGAAATACGAACGACACCTCTCAGAAGTACAGCAAAGGATCAACGAAGTCTTACCTTTTGAAGTGCGATTCCTAGATTTATTTATTTATTTGCATTTTCATCCATCTAAAGGAAGATTCCGAGTTTTTCAAATGTTTTCGTCGTTCTTTCCGATGAATACATCATTTTTGTTCTCTCTCCACCGGTACCGATAATTTTTAAAACAAAACAAAATATTAGTAGAATGAAACCAATTGGAAAAGGAAAAAAATATGCCAAAAATTAAAGAAAAAATAATTTACAGGCGATATGAGGTCGGGAAACGACAGGGGGTAGGTTTGTTTTTAAGGGTGAGAAACGGTTTATCGCAGTTTCCTGTGAAAAAAAGTTGAATAGCATCTGCAGCTGTGATACTGGATGTAACAATCTAAACATGGTTTGAAATGCACAAATTTATACCCAAATTGTTATTGTTCTGGAAAATGCTCCATCGTTGAAGAAAAAACCTACGAAGAAGTTGATGATTCACTTGAAAAATGTGGTGGTGGACGGACGTGCCGACAGCGACCGTCCACAAAGAAGGCACGCGGACGCCATTGTTGAAAACGAAACTCAGTTTGTGCTGTGAATGTCTGCCGTCATAGAACGTGCCATCATTAAATTAAACGTTTTTTGTGAACAGTTTATAAGTGTTATAAAGAAACAGCACTCCCATTCACGCCGGTTGGAGGCCGGAGTGGACCTGATGTCCACGTGGGAGTGTTATAGTGGATATATGTAACTCCTTTCCCCATTCACGCCGGTTGGAGGCCGGGGTGGACCGGATGTCCACGTGGAGACAGGATTTTAACAAATAAATGTGTTAATTATGTGGAAAAAGTCTGGAAGTCTCCAAAAAATATCAAGTGTTTTTTAATATAATAAAAACATTAGACAAAAAAGGGGTGGCAGTATTGCTGTGTGCAAGACAGCTGCGCCCCCCGAATCGAGCTGGCTAAATGCGCCTATTTGGAAGCAAAGGCCAAGAACTTTGAGTGAAGTGAAGTGAACTTCAAGCATAAATTATAAATTATGAGATTTTCTATGACATGAATTTGATTACAATTTAATTTACTGAGTCACCAGTTACACCAGTCACATTTTTTAAATGAAATCTTCAACATTCAGAAAATGAACTATTTTCGCATGTTTTTTTTGCAATACCTGTTTGATGGATTTGAAATTTTCTTGTTCATCAATAAAACAAGGAATCTTACAATTTTCAAGTAATTAAAGTGAGAATTATTACAAATAGCTCTAAACTTTAAACAATTATGAAAAAAAAAATTCGGATTCGAGGTTTTTCGTGTTTTGCATTTCCTGAGAAGATTTGCAACAGTAATGTACACATCAAGAAGTAGAGATTTCAACGAACAAGAAGCATACCGATTAAAAGAATTTTCGATTGGAAATTACGGTGTTTTTTCGAAATCAAATCAAAATGAGGGAAAAAAATTACAGTGTGTTTGGGAAACGAAAAAAGGTAAGTTTTCGACAAAATTGATGATACTTTCGCGGCTGAGGTTTTCAGTGTCACTGTTTTTCGAGTTTGAAAGCCGTCGATTTTTAGAATTTCCTCCTGATGTTTCGCTGGCGCGAACGACAAGCTTCTTCAGAGGTTTAACCATCATGGTTTGCTGTCCGATGACTAACTTTTAGGCTTCGTAAAGCGTATTTATGCCTTGTCAGGTAATCAGTTGTATTGGTACAACTGTTGTCATTCTGTTCGTTATTCTTGAATTCCTTAAAATGGGGTTCCATATTCGATTGAGGTTCACCGCTTCTTCTTTTCTGTTGAAATTATGTTTGTGGATCTCTATTGCTTCCCGTACCAGTCGGCTATGGTATCCCTGGTTGGGGGCATTTAGTTCTGTGTTTTCAAACAAAATTCTGTGGTCTCCTTCACTAAGAGCGTGTTCTGCCACAGCTGACTTGTCCGCTTGGCCTAGTCTGCAGTTCCTTTTATGCTCTTTCAGTCTTGTTCCGATGGATCGTTTGGTGGTTCCGATATATACCTTTCCACACGTGCACGGTATGCGTGAGAATCCTGCTGCTGATAATGGGTCTCTTTTGTCTTTAGCCGACCTGAGGCTTTGTTGTATCTTCCTCGTGGGTTTGAATACTGTTTCGATGTCGTGTTTATCCAATAGTTTTCCAATTCTGTCCGTGACCCTAGAGATAAATGGTAGATATGCGCGTGCAACCATCTGATCCTTTTTCGCTTTTTGAACCGCGGTGTTCTTCAGTTTCATGGCTTTCCTGATCTAGAAGGCACTGTATCAATTGGATCTCAAGGAACCCCATTTTAAGGAATTCGAGAATAACGAATAGAATGACAACAGACAGCAAAATTGTTAATGTTCCAGGTTCAAGTGCAGGTACAAATACGGGTACCAATACAACTGATTACTCGACAAGGCATAAATACGCTTTACGAAACTTAGAAGTTAGTCATCGAACAGCAAGCCATGAAGAAGCTAGCCGCTCGCGACAGCGAAACACCAAGAAAAAATTCCAAAAATCCACGGCTTTCAAACTCGATAAACAGTGACACAGAGGTAAGTTTTCACCAATTTTGGAAAATGAATGTTTGTAAAAGCTTAAAATAAAAAACCAACGAAATATTCGATTATTAGAATTTTTCGCACAAGTCCGAATTCGCAACATTCACCAAGAAACATTGCCAACCACTTTCTAACAAATGATTGTCTTATCGTATGAACACAAAAGTAAAAATAAATTTCATGTCGAATAGTGCCAGATCTGATCATCTGTTATTTCAAAATACATTTTTCTCAGACGATCCAAAAGAAAACCTAAATTTGGGGAAACTTTTCCAATCTGGCAACCCGGCGATCTCCAAGTCTCTAAGGAAACGTTGACCTCTCTCTCTGCCGATGCGTTTAAGCTGATGTTCGCTATGGCTTAGACGTTATCGATGTTGCCAACTACATGCCTCCAGAAATGAAACGTAGCCCGAGGAAATGTTATATTTATTACGGGACACAATTCTGCTTGACTTGTGCCGTTTCTATGAACTGGCGCAGCGAGTAAACAATGCAAGTGAAACCTTGCGTTAGATAAGATAAAATCATTCGCCGGAGAATAATAATGAACTCATCGGTAGGGGAATCAATCCATAGATAACATACAGATGAAAATCTACGCTTCATCTTCAATGTTTCATCTGCCCCTTTTGTGCTATCTGGACCCTCAATTGGGTGGGAAACATCGTTGCCAGTTTGGCAAAATGATTTTGTTTCGGCGTAATGATAAAAAAAACGTCTGCATCTCTACTCTTGTCCCTACACTTCACCCAAAAAAAATTCTATACCCAGCCGCATATTATTAAAGAACAACGGTCGTTCCTTGGTGCGGTCCTGTACAAGCAGCCTTGTCTGGGACATTACGTGCACTATGCATGATACTGTTTTGCAGCATTCTGTTGCTTACATAAACAGAGTATAGATTTCTAATTTTAATAACTGATCCCGAAGCACAAAAAATTAACAGAATGTTTAATGTGTTTCTAAAATTATTATGAACTTGTCTTTCTTCAAAATCATTAAAAGTCAAGGCGCTGATGAGATGTTTCACAATAAGTCGTCTTCGATAGTCATTCTTCAAAAGCTTGTTTTGTAAATAATGCGATAATAAATTAGTTCTTTGTGTGGAAAAATTTACCATCAGTTTTTGCATGATTCGTAATTGGAATTATTAATTGTTTCCAGATTATTATATTAATTTTCAGGACATAAGAGAAAGTAGAAGAAAAAACTGAAGAGAAACACCGCCAACTGAAACAACTGTGAAAAAAACATTTGCCCTCGACATACTGAAATTAAAACAAATTTTCATGAAAACGTCGTTAATATGTTTTCAAGTAACTTCTGAATAATACTTCTTTCAGTTATGACGAATAAAACCATTAACTCAGCAATATGAAAGTTTTATTTCACTATAAAGTAAGTACATTTCAGGAAGAGAGTCGAGATGAAAAAATGTTTTCCAGCAAAACCAAATCCTCTTGAAGAAAATCCTTTCGCCGACTGTAAGTAAGTACTTACATCTTCAATGATTCTCAGTTTTTGGCTCTCCAGAAAATAGTATTTGTCCCATCAACTCAGAAGTAAATCATTTCTGAGATGATTTTTTTTTCATTTACCTAAGGTTGTTAAATTCACCGCGTTGTTAATTTTTCATTTTAGATTTCTCCATCGCCATAATCAATCCAGTGAGTCAAACTGAATAATGATACCTACAAATTATATTTTGGCATTAAATAGAATCTCAAAATTCATTTTCTAATTAAGCATTAAAATCATGTGACATAAGTAGGTATGCATATTTATTTATTCCTGTCAATCGTATCTGTCAGTATCATTAAATAAAGAGCATTCCATATCAATATTCATAAAAAACTGATATATTAGAATACATAAAAATATTGGAGTAGTACTGGAGAATTATTAGTAGTTGTTAATCCATATCTAATGTTTAGGATTATGTACGTTATTGAAATAATTAATTTCAATTGCGTATATGTTGTCACCGCATTTAGGTGTATATATGTCGCTATTTGCCTTCATCTTGCTTTAAAGTGTAAGTGTACGAGAGCAACATCATAGTTTCGTTGAAACCTTACTATTCCCCAGAAAAAGTATAACGTAAATTGGTTCACCATTAATTACTATTTTGGTTAAACTAACGAACGTGATGACTCGTATCAGATTCTATGAACAAGCTATTTAAAATGAACACTCATTTCAATAAAAGCAACAGTCTGCCTCAGGCGAAATGTTCAATTGTTATTACAAACAGAGTAATTCAATCAATTACCCGAATAATGGTGGTATGTTCATCGACATTCCAGATTGTAATAAAACTGTTTCATTAATTTGAAACAAATTTGTGAACTGGTATGTGTTACTCACCAAAATGTTATTATTGGGTTATTTAATAAATAGTACGCCATATCAATTGATATACCCATTTAATTAATGAAAGATTACTTGACCTGTTCACTTCGCGTGCTAACGCTACCAAGACTTTTACATACTGAACTGAACTCAATCATACCTGTAACCGGTTCCGCTAGCTTTACCAAATCATAATATTGTACCAAATTGTAAAATTTGAATTTTCAATAGTTTTAGGCTCCGATATCGAACATTCTTTGCCCCAAGTTTGAATTGAATATTTGGGTGATTATCTCAGGCACACGCGATAAAAGCAGGACAAAAATTTTCGAAAATGTTCAACTATGGGTGAGAAAGAAATATATTGAGAATTTTGTCAAACGTCGGCAATAGGCGACATCTGTCAAATCAGTTGTCATTTATTCAGTATGTTTTACAAAGTCACCATGGACTGATATAGCATTCAACAACACGCGCACATAATAACATTGTACCGCGCCCTTCGCCCATTTTACGATCACCATAATCGTCCTAGCGACCAACACCCGTACGTTGACGAAATGCAAGATCTGCCGAAAACATCGCCGCTGTCCGTGAGAGTGTGCAGGAGAATCTGAGACAGTCGATTTCGCGTCGCTCACAAGAGCTCGGCCTTTCGCAGACCACAACTTGGCGAATTTTGCGTCGTGACTTAGACCTGTACCCTTAGAAAATTCAACTGACCCAGGAACTGACTCCTTTGCTTTCTGAATGAAAACAAAATAATAAGTGATCGCCAGTTTGGTTTCCAAAAGCAAAAAAACACTTCCGATGCCATATTTTCATTTCTTTACAATNCAAAGTGGTTTGGCGATAAGAGCAGAGCTCTTGTTTCGCAAGAAGTTATAAAGAATATGTAAGTACATAAATATTAGTACAAAAATATGTATGGCCTTCATGGAGTAGAAACTACAAAACATTTTATTAATTTTCTTTTTAATAAATAAATAACACAATAATCCATTAGTGTTCATAATTTCACATTATAACTGTTTGATTGTTTCCCACATTTTTGATATTAGTTCAACTTTTTTTATTTACCTCATCAAAGATTTTCTATCCTATTTAAAACGTCATTCATTTATCTTCTCTCAAAGTTCAAATTTGTTAACACTTCTTCATTATCGAATAGACTTGCAATAAAAAAAAACAAAAGCGCTTATATTAATCAAAACAAAACTCGGCTGCACGTGCACGACACCGATATCTCGACCTACCGATCGAATCAACATAAATCAATATGGCTGAGAATCAGCTGAACATATCCCCGCCACCAGGAATTATTCCCGCTCTTGACAACACCGCAAGTATCACTGTATCCCCGACCGCTTCGCTACAACGAACTGGGCGGAGCCTCGCGTCAAGCTTCTCTGACGACACCGTTACGTTCCGTGACGTCACGCAAGCATAGCGCGCCATAATCGCAGACATTCAAACATAAAATTGTATTGTTGAGTCGTTTAATGCGGTATCAGATTGTAAGAAGGGTATATTAAGTTGATAAAGCGATATTTCCTATGTTTACAGTTCCGGAATGGGTCAAGGTCCTTTCCGTCTTGGAATTTATGGTTTTTTGAATGTTGATTTGATGAATGACGCAAGGCGACTAAAAAATTTAGAGTCGTTCTGTTTTTTTTTTGACTATCTCCCATGTTTATATTTATACTTTTAATTTGTCATGGAACATCACATTTTCTGTCTACACTACACTGTCTACACTAAAAAAAATGTATACTCATACTGCACAACAAAACTTATTTTTTGATCTGGAATATACATACAGACGGCTCAAAAACCAAAGAGTTCTCAGGATGTGGAGTGTACTCCAGATCACTAAGCCTAAAAATTAAGTGGGAAATGGTCCAAACAGAACTGGCTGATATCTCGATCGCCACAAAAGAAATAAGCAGGAAAGGAATTTCTGGCAAAAACATAACAATCTGCACTGACAGCTGACAAGCCCTATTAGCCTTGGACAGACAACGTGTTACCTCAGGGCTAGTACTAGAGTGTCACCAAGATTTAGCCAAAGCCTCGGTAGATAATAACATTATCCTGAGGTCTGTGGTGGATAAAAAGGCACGACAGGAGTCAAGGTAATCGCATTGCCGACTCTTTAGCCAAGGAAGCGGCAGGTGTGACCAAAATTTCATGAAAAAATATTCATTATTAACAAAGTTATGACAACTCAAAAATTCGAAAACTCACACACTTAACAGTCACAAAAAACACCCTATATCAACAGATATAGCCATGAGAATATTTGTTTTATAATTTCAACAATAAAGTGCCGCCAGATGAAAAAAATAAACAAATAACGTAAATATTTTTAATGAAAATAACGGAATTGCATTCAAGTTTTCACGCAAATTAACTAAAACTAAGACCTAATATTTCAATTTAAATCTTAGTTGCCATGGAAATGATATTACAGTTTGACACTTGTGAAAGATTTAAGTGTACTATTGTCAACAATATTCACCTTACAGTTCTTCGAATTATTTTGTGTCATGGCTGCAAGATTGAGCGTAAGAGAGAAAATTGAAATTGTACGCCTTTCGGGAGATGACGTTAGAAGTGC